AGAAATTAAGTGTTCTTGATCCTCAAGAATCCCAGAATTTGATGGTGGGAAAGTTAGGGGAGTATCGCAGTACATGTTACGTGTTACGACGCGTAAGGTACCTACTATCTCTAGTTACTCTGAGGCGCAATTATCTTTACGGACCACCCAATTAGTAATTAGAAACTTACTTTTTTTTCACCCTGTATAAAATCTTGTTGAAACACGAAAAAAGACGAAACTGTTTATTCAACAATAATGAAGAAAATTGTTTCGAGTGAGTAAGACAAATAATCAGGGTGATGGAAGAAGTTTCTCAGTTGAATTCTAATTTCTGCAAAACTACGAGAGTTATTCAAAAACCCTTAAAGTTGTTTTTTACCATTGAACTACTGATTCTTCTAAAACCCAGAAAAAAGGAGGAGTATGTTTGAAACGAAATGGTGATGCCCTGAAATTTGTTAAACTTTGCACTGTTTTATTGTCCACCCACCCTGTATGTTGTAGAAGGGTTCTGTTCATCAGCGCGACACCATATATACCTTGAACACCAAACAATGCGCCCCAAAATGCTTTAAACTGCAATCAAATATAAGTCCAGATTCCTACAAAACATTATTTTTTTGTCGGCGATGCCTCGGGATAAAGTAAAAACTCCGCAGATAAGGGTTGAGAATCAATTTGGTCCAAGAGCAAAACCATCAATTAAATTCATTTTGATTTTTGCATATAGTATTTTTCATGATAATTGGAAAATAATTTTAAACCTTATTTACAACAATTTAAACCGAATAATGTCAAACCAATATAAAATAGGAAACGCCAATTTCTGAGCGAGATTCGAGATAAAAATAAATGAGGTTCAAATTTCATGAAATCTTGATTGGTGCGAACCGCGGCATTTTGATATCTTCAACTGCTTAGCCGCTCGCTAGAGGGCGTTTCTCGATTTTGAGCAAATAAGTGACCTTATTGAGCAATACTCAATACTGTTTAACCTTCGTAGCTTTTTTGTTTATAGAAATAATTGATTTCTGTGAAAACTTCCAAGGAGCACTTTTTTAAGCAGAATTCAGTAACGTTCTCAGTTTTTTTCTATATTTTTTGGTATTTGGTCCCGATTTCGAGGTCAGATTTTTTTCAATTGGAGGAAACTCTATACAGGGGTGTTGATGGATAATAAGATCAAACTTCTAGGATAAATAGTACACATTAAAATAAAAAATTCACAGATTTCGCAATCCTTTGCAATCATCGGAGACGTTGGCTGTCCTTAAGCGATACCTTTGTCGCTTTCGAATAACTCAAAGGGTGGGGCTGGAGCAAGTTCCGCCAAAACGCGACCGGCCGTCCAGTGGAAAGCCAGAACAAATTTGGCGCCCGAGCAGGGACCCTTTAGATTTGAAATAGGGAGTTCTCTGACCGTATCTCCGACCTTGTGAAGTTCATTGATTTTCTTTCCCCTCTTTTCATTGTGGTTTTACTTCTTGTTTCTTTTAAATTAAAAAAATAATAATAATTCCCCGTTGCTGTTTGCCGACATTCCAAGATGAGCGATAACGAAGCTGCGACAATTACGACTACGACCCTTACCACCACTACCGTAACTACCACCACCCCAGTACCGAAACCCTCCGACCCTAACGAATCTCGTGTAGGGTGGATCTACAATCTCCGGAAACCTGAGGTTGTCGCGGAGTTACAGAAGTTCACATTGAACACTACTCTGGCACTGGTGGACGAGTATCAAAAGACGCCTGACTAAAATCATCAGAGATGGAAACCGCACCCCAACCAAAGTAGCACCCCCTTTCGTCTTCCCTGCAAACCTCCCACCACTACAACGGTACCTTCAATCATTACCCCACCCCCAGAGCTGTCGGTAATTGAATTAAAATAATTGAAAAATTGTTTTCAATCACTTTTCGTAATTGAATTACTTTAATTCAATTACCGGAAAAAAATAGTAATTGTAATTGATTTTTAAATTACTGAGATAAAATAATTGTAATGGGTAATTGATTTTAACAATTTTCAGGTAATTAAATTACTTTTAGGGTAATTGAATTACTTACAAATAATTCAATTAATTTAAAGGTAATTGAATTACTTTTATTAATTGAACTACTGATAAGTAATAATTTAAACTTCAAATTGTGTAACACCTTCGGCGGCATTTGATCTGGTTTGAGTGAGAACGACTAGCGGCTGTTTTCTTTTTTCGCCTTTTGTCGACCTGCTGTCAAAAGCATGCCCAGAGCTGTCGGTAATTGAATTAAAATAATTAAAAAATTGAATAATTGAACTAGGTACTTTATGGGTAATTCAATTACTGAAAAGTAATTTGATTTCTCAAGGACTAATTCAAATAAAGTATTTGCATACATGATCAATTACTTTCAACGGTAGTTGTTAATTGAACTACATTTTGACAGTCTTATAAGTAATTGGTAATTGTAATAAATTTTTTTATGCCAGAGTAATTGGTAATTGTAATTCAATTACTTGAGAAGAGTAATTGCGACAGCTCTGCCCACCCCCCTGCCGTTCCCGTCAATCCAATCCCCGACCGGCTGCCCCTCAATCATCCTACCCTTAGCTAGTGTAACGACACCCCCTGCAATACCGACCACTAACTTGCTACCGAAAACAATTAGGCCACTGAAATATCCAGTTTTCTGGACGTAACCATTATATGGAACCTATCTAACACCTAATATACAGGATGTCCCACGGTGGATGACGTATTAGACGTTTATGGGAAACTAAAAAGCGGATCGATTTTGAAAATTTGGCAACCGGGATAAACGACCATAATCTACACTTTAAAATATTTTTGTTTATGCGGTGTTGCCGCTTCTACTCTAAACCAGTGGCAACATCGCCATTTTAAATGAAACACCCTGTATGTGATTGCATATTTGGATTCTTCATGGAATTCTGAGCAGATTTTGTTATTTTTTTTACCTAAGTTTTGGAAATATTGACAGTTGAAAATTGACTTTTTGCAACTTTGACAGGCTGTAAAATCTGGACGGTTAATTTTAGAGGAAAACCGATTTTACATTCCTATCTAAGATCCTCATAAACTATCATTGGCACCAACTTTGGATTTAACCGGAGATTAAATTTAATTGGACTTTTTAATCATGGATTAAATTCAAAGTTGGTGTCGAACGATAGTTTATAAAAATCTAAAACTGGAATGTAAAATCGGTTTTCCTCCAAAATTAACCGTTCAGGATTTACAGCCTGTCAAAGTTGCAAGAAGTAAGAAGTCAATTTTTAACTGTCAATATTTCCAAAACAGTTGAACTTGGCTTTGCTATGGCTGACCACGACTATAGAGCAATAGAACAACAATTGTCATTGAGTCCTCTGGGCCTTCGTAGAGATAGTTTTGGTGTAGCATTTATATACAAATTAGTACATGGGTCCAAGTCTCCTTTCTTCAGTTAGTTTTAATGTACCCACTAGGGGACTGCGGCAACACCCAAAATTTCTCATACCTTCTCTTTTCACCGAACAACATATGGTGAAAATAATCCTATTGACAGATATATGTCATTATTAATTAATAACTTAAATATTGATATATTTGATATGACCCTAGGTCAATTAAAAACGTACCTGAAGAATATGTGATATTTTTTGTATAACAGGGTCAATTCTGGTTTGTGTATTATTCGTTGTACCTAATTCTATTTTATATGTTTCCATATGTCAACTACTCATTATCAAGATCAAGATATTTTTCATAATACCTACATACTTTTACTAATACCTACTTACTTAAAAGATGATTTTTGGCTGTACTTAATATGTTTTATATTATTGTGTAGTATTAATTTTTGTAGTTAAATAATATTTATTAGAGAGTTATTGGAACTATTAAATACTGCCTCGCAGTATTAAGAATCTACGTTATTTTATTAGTGCATCAGCACTATTTTTCCAAGAAAAAAACAGTTATTGGAAGACTGTAGTAGGTGCTAGAGTATTACCTTATTTTTTATTCATAATTTTGACAGCTGATAGCTATGTTTATAAATTTCAGCCTCAAAAAGGGTTTATTTTTGTTTGTGATTTTCTGCTGATACCGATTTTTTTATGTTACCTACAGTAAAATGGAAAACTATTGTAAAAAATAAATTTTCTAAGTAAAATTACGTCATCGTCGAAAAGCGAAACGTCAAAGTCGTCCAAAATGTCAGAAATTTAAAATAAGGGAAGTTTACTGCGTCGCACTAACCATACACAAATAAAGACAAGCAGTAACCTTATTAAGGGAATCCTTATTTTAGGGTATATCACATGAAATCTCCTCAAAATTTTACGTATTTAAATATGCAATTACATACAGGGTGTTCCATTTAAAATAGCGATGTTGCCAATGGTTTAGAGTAGAAGCGGCAACACCGCATAAACAAAAATATTTTTAAAGTGTAGATGATGATTGTTTATCCCGATTGCCAAATTTTCAAAATGATCCGCTTTTTAGTTTTCTATTAATGTCTAATACGCCATTCACCGTGTTTATCTACGTCAGTGAGATACCTTTATTTTTCTGTGAAATAAAGTGCTACTTTAGTTTACTAGAAAAATAAAGAGCTACTTTATTGACTACCTGACGACCTGCCAAAATGAAAGAGGTATACTCTTTAAATTTTTTCATTAATTTTTTTCGATTTTTGATAAAAATTAGTTGTAATTGTATATAAAATCATGTCTATAATGCTTACATAAACAGGCTTTATTGATTCATTATTTAATAGCCTCTCTCGCATGCTCGCTCGGCCATAAAATTATTCATACAATAAAGTCTTGATAACAAGTAGGTACATAGAACTTGTTATATACCTAAAAATAGTTATTCTTGGAAACTGTTAGAGATAAACCTATCGAATTCTATGTATCATTGGAATCAGCAAAAGCATTGCTTTCCAATGAGCGATTAATATATACGTATAAGATGTCCTATTGAAAAGAATCTTGACTTTGGTCAATATCCCAAAATCAGGGCCAAACAGAAAAAAAAACTGATGTCACTGAATTCTGCTGGAAAAAGTGCTTCTAGAAAGTTTTTACGGAAATCAAAACAAAAAAGTTATAAAGGTTTCACAGTATTGTTCAAAATCGAGAACCCTCTAGCAGCTAAATGGTTGAATATAATGAAAATACGGTTTGCACTAATCAAGATTTCATGAAATTTGAGTCTCAGAGTGGGTTCATTTTTTTGTTTCTCGCTCAAGGCAATTGTGGAGCCAAAAAGCAATATAATTATTTTACAAGCATTTGAAGTAAGCATAAACTAATTATATTGAAACTATTCAGTCAACTTTAAGTGAAACTCTTAATCTCTGTCCAGATTTTGCTGAATACTACAACAGCAATTTCATCCAAGTGAGTAAATTTTTGTAATGCAAAAATCATGAGAAAAAATGTTCGACTCGCACATTTATTTTCCGCTCTAAATACTAGCCTTAGCATATCTTTGTACTTGTCTTTATATAATGAAAACTTGTAATTGATAAACTATTAAACATTATTAGGTAATATATTATTTCAAGAGTCATACATATTTGAACTTAATCCCCATCAATATTAGCTTACATTGGCATGCTAGTTGAATAATGAACAAATCACAACAAAAATATTCTCAACTGTCATTCAACCAATCTGTAATATAAGGGCAAATATTAGGATTGACAGATCCAGTGCTTGCACATTTATCTTCAATCACACATATTCCGCAAGAAGTCTTAACTAATCCAGGAGGAGGTAAAAATCTACTGATTGCCTTATACATAAATTTACCATTTGAAGCCACTGTTCTTTCAGCATTATTGTCTAGAACTACTGTATAGAGGATGCTCTCAATATCTGTAATGCTCAGTGCAACTTTACTTATTCCTAGGTCTGAGATGTACTTTTGAACTTCTGTGGCTGTAGCATAAGATCTTTTCTGGATGATTAATGGCCCTCCCCCTTGCTTGGTGGCATCTTCTAGTCGCTGCACTAAAAATCTATGGGATTGCTGGCACAATACGTCAACAAATTCACTTTCAAAATCTTGATCTTGGTACCAAGCACCTCCAGTTACTGTACTATCAGGTTCCAAGTCATAGAGCATATACACTTTCTTTTTACTAGCTGATACGGATTTTACTGCTTTTATGATTTTTTTAGTTTCAAGACTTTTTAGTACTTTGTTCAATTGGGTCATGTTTAGGTTTGATTTGAATCTAGAAGACGGGAAAAAAAAAGCATTATAAGTTGGTTAGTTATACAGGTCAATTCTGTGCATATCTATAACTTTCTATAAGCCTATATCTATCAGCCTATAGACAATTTGCAATTCTGCACTTCCTGTAAAAAATCTTATAGAATCGTAAATATTCCCGAACAGGTGTTTGGCAGTTGATGCATTTTGCAGTGTCTATAGGCTTAGAAAAAGTTATAGATTTGCTTACAGATGTGCACAGAATTAATAGTTTCACAAGTTTACAATTTATTGATTCGGGTTTTGAGTTACAACAAGTAGAAACTACTTACCGAATATCCCTTATCCATATCCCCTTGTTTCCAGCTTCTTCAATAATTTTATAAACAACTTTCTCTTCATTATCCGATCCTTTTGCAGCAGTCTTCTTAGATGGATCTTTAAATTTATAAAATAGGTCCTCCTTAGTTCTGAATAGCTCCAATGTACCATTTTTAAGAAATTTGTTTATAACTCCAGTCAAGTCGGTCAGAGGTACATCTGGCAGCTGTTGCTTAAGGTCTTTATTTGATATTCCTTCTGGTTGAAGTCTGGCAAGATCTAGGAGACGTGATTCGATGTCTTCGATAGTTTCACCCATTTTTCAAAAATCAGGATATTAATCAATAACCACAAATAAAATAAAGCAAGGTGCTGTGAAATGGGTTCTTGAGCTAAAGCGTGGCTTAATGTGGGTGAACATTGAGTGGCTATAAATTTGAATATAAACAAAAAGTTCTCAAAAGTTCTAACCTAACAGTAACAGTCCAATCCATCTGTCAAAACAAGAGTTCAATATGGCGTGGCAGCCAAGCAAGTTAATTTTGAATATGTGTTTTTATAGTGGTTTTTAAAGTGTGTTTTTTAAAAAATAAAAGTCAAAATGACATTATGTTGGCAATACAATATAAAATTGTCAATGCTTCGAATTTTTTATGTAGAAAAGGATTGTGTTGCCAACAAAAGCTTTGTTTTGGTTCGAAATTTGGAACCGTTCTGGAATTGCGCAGAACTGCTTGCGCACAAAAAATAATAGAGGACTGTTCTAATACTAGTTCTGAACCAATTCGGAACCAAAAAAACCAAAACACAAAATTCTAAAACAGTTCCTCCTTCAGAGCAAGAACTGAGAGAACCGTTCTAGAACAATCCCAGAATTGTTCTCAAAAAGTTTTAGATAAACCAAAACACTGTCAACACAGTTCGATTACGATTTTGAAAAAACCAAAACGCGTTTTGTAATATGCGCATGTGCAGGATGATTCCGAACTAGTTCTGAGTGAAACCAAAACAAAGCTATAGTTACTAAATTTTTGACTTGGGGAATTATCTTTAAAATAAAAACAGACTTTAGATATTTTTTTTAGGGATGTTCCGAGAGAATTTAGTTGTATCCTTTCAAGAGCTTGAAGCTCTAGAGTCACTAGAGCTACTCGCTCCGGTGTTAGTCGACCCCGATTTGAAAAGAACAGGGCTGCGTTCAAAAACGGCTAAAGCCAAGCCAAAATTGGCATATTGCGTTCAAGTTCGGCTCCAGCGTGCCAAAAACGGTTGGCTTTACACGTTCAGAATCGACCGCGGTAAAGTAACTTTTGGAGGTGCTTTTAACTGAGTCTAGAAATGGTTATACGAATTTTGATTGGATGAGACCAAATTCAATATGGCGTGGCGGCCAGCAAGTTAGTTTTGAATATGTGTTTTCATGCATATTTCAATTATTTTGCTTCGAGTTTTGCTTGCAGCTTTGATTTTGATTATTCAATAAAATATTTGTAGGTACGTAAACTATTGATTTGGGCAGAAACCAGATTTTTTTTTGTGTTTTTTCGTTCATGTGTGGACGCCACGCCATCTTGAATGTCACGTGGTTTGGATTGTCTAATTGAGAAACGGTATTTGGCGTTCTAGCAAATTCACATCAGATTTGGTATTGCCGGTAGAAGGGGAAAAGTAGGCATTGCCGTCTTTGAACGCACTCCAGATGCGCTGGCTTTCATGCATTTAATAAATGGTTTGAGCTCCACTGTAAGTCGAGCTTGAGCACTCAGGCCGGGGATTCTAAAATCACGATTCGACATACGACTCGACAACGAGACAATTTTTCCGACGATCCTAGGTTAGAAATCTCATTCGAATCATACCTTTCGAGACGACAGGACTGGTATCGTGTTCCATCTCGTTGTCGAGTCGTGTATCGAATCGAAAGGATAACGCACACCTAACAGGGGATTTTTGGGCTCTATGGATTTTTCCCATTTTTTGAAATGTTGTAGAGGATTTAATTCTGAACAACCTCTAAATGAGACGAAATCTTATAGATTTTACGGCCTTTGAGATATGAACGTTGAAAGATGAACTTTTTTGCGACTTTTTGTGTGGAGAGTATACGAGATACTGGTGCTACTGGTGTTTATCAGTCAAAATATTGACAGGTTCACATATTTTACGTCACTTAAAAATTAATGTCAACAAAGGCTAAGGCCGGGACCGCACTTGGATCAATGTTGGCGCCAGTGCGGTCGCGGCCTTAGCCTATGTTGACATTTGTTAGTGACGTGAAATATGTCGACCTGTCAAAATTTTGATTGATAAACACCAGTTTTTCGTATACTCTCCACACAAAAAGTCGCAAAAATGTTCATCTTTCAACACTCATATCTCAAAGACCGTAACGCCTAAAAGATTTCGTCCCATTTAAAGGTTGTTCAGAATTAAATCCTTTACAACATATCAAAAAATGAGCAAAATTCATAGAGCCCAAAAATCCCATGTTAGGTGTGCGTTATCCTTTCAGAATCTCGGCCCAGGTAGGGTTGCCAGATTTCAATTTTGGAAAAGCGTGACGGTGTGGCCTACAGTGACTCTATTACCCACAGTGGCGACAATTGCTGTCTTATTTTTGATTGGTTCTAAAATCCCATATATTTATATTGAAAACGCCGCCATCTTGTTCCCACCTATTGCTTATTTCAAATATGAATATATGGGATTTAGGTGAATATCCATCATAAAACAGGGAAAACAACGTATTTGATAGACCTTATAATGGTCATCAAATATGTCGATTTCAATTTTTTATGATAGATGTACATTTAAATCTTATATATCAATATTTAAAAGTAACAAGAGGTTGGGAACAAGATGGCGGCGGGACCTCTATTGTCGCCACTGTATGTAAAGGTTTATTTAGCCACTGTAGTGTGGCCAGACGAAAGCCCGCCGCGGGCGCACCAAACCAAACTATATTAGGCAATTTTTCGCGAGGATAATCAAGGATAAGCATAATCTGATTGTGCTGGGCTATGTGATGTGTCATACTCCCCTAATTCCTCTCCATCCAATTCTGGGCCTGCGAGTGACGTCACTACCGGCAGTTTATAGTGATGAGGCCACCAGCAGACGTCGATGGATAGCTTGCGATTCAGGCTGGGCTAGTGAGCTAAATTTTTCGTCGATTTTAAATGAAATAAACGGTGATTTTTGATCTGTTCTCACAGAATAAATTAAGTGTTCTTGATCCTCGAGTATCCCAGAATTTGATACGGGGCAGTTAGGGGAGTTGACACAATTCAATTGACACATTAAATAATCCAGCATACTCGAGTATTCTTGGTTATCCTCGCGAAAAATTGCCTATTATTATGTCTTTTATGCCCGATTGCACCGTCTCTCTTAACCGAGGCTTAGAGATAACTATTCCTTAAAGTGACATTTTCCCATGCAAAACTGTCAATTTAAGGGATAGTTATCGTTAAGCCTCAGTTAAGAGAGATGGTGCAATCGGGCATTAGAGCCCATCTGCACTGATTATTTCAGCTAATAACACCCATTTAAAAAAGAAAATATATTTTTTCTGTGACGGGAAAAAAGTAGACTTTTTGTACCTGACGCCATATTGGTGTTTTACCATTTCCAACGTCTAAGTTGTCTAGTTGTCAGCTGTATAAATAGTCTTCGTCAAGGAGAGAAATAACATGCTGCTACGTCCCAACTGGTGATTTGGCTTAGGGGGGAGAGGGGGGATTTGTTCTACACAGGCCTCATGTGGATAGGCCATCCTATAGTGGTAGTGTGTATCATCCTTGGTAGTGTACAAGTTAGTAGAGTGTACTGAGTGTAGAGTATGGGAGTATGTCTAGAGTAGGGTGAAAAGGATTCCCTTTTGATATGGGAATAACCTCTTAGTAATTTTTGACAATAAGGCCCTTTTGACTAAGGCTACCTTGCTGTCACTAGGTATATTCACAGTGCCCTGCTAGAGGTGACAACTGTGAAGGGTGATGTGTATAGAGTGCAGCCTCACACTCTGGATATAGGCTTGGGTGTTGTAGATTGTAATACACCAGAAGAGGTTTTATACAGTAGTAGTTATACACTCAGTACAAATTTCCGGAAATGAAACCCCAAATTCAGAATATTTTGTGTTTTATTTTATTGTTTTAATAATGTGGCGCTTGTGTGGGCGTCACGCCATCTTAAATGTCACGTGGTATGGATTCGTTTGGAATGCCTTTACGATTCTTGAGGGCGAGAACCCACGGGCGTAATTGACGTAATTGTAACATGAGCGTAACTAATCATGTGATTTAATTTGTACGATTTAATTGGCGGCAATGCAGCCATCTTGAATTTTTGACATTACGCTGCCGCTACGGCAAAAAGTTGGGTTTTGTTGAACTTTTCGGCGTAATCGTGGCAAAGTTGTGACGTAATATATGGGGTGAGTTCAGCTTGGCAGAACGGAGTTGGAGCGGATAAAGAGCAGTTTCATAGTAACCTGAACACAGAGCGAAAAGAGTAAAATGGTTAGTCGAACGCATTAGGAGCAAGGCGAGCCGCGGCCAATGAAGAAATGCCGCGGCTCCCGAATGCTTATCCCCATCACAAACCGGAACATGTTTTTCTGCGGATATTTTGGGGAGCGATGCCATTTTTTCTACCAGGATCCCCAGAGGGCAACCAAGCCCTAAGCAAAAAAAAAATCTCTTTTGAATTCTTTAGGTTAGGATCGTTAGGATAGTGAATTATTGAAAACCTAAATTTTACCGCCTTTTGGGAATATAGGAAGTGCGCATGCTCGCTTCTCGAGCTTCATCTCGCGAGGTGGAGCTTATGGATATGGAGTTAATTATTCTCACTCTACTTGGCTGTACAAAAACGATGTAGGCTTCCACTATTTGCTCCCAGTGGCCTGACCCGAACGATTTTGCAGTGAAAAGTGTCAAAGGAGTCAAAAGAGTTGCCAAGCCGAACTCACCTACTCACCTATGATAGAAAAATCACAGAAAATTAAAGGAAAAGGAGTACAATAACAAATAAGTAAATTTTCATTACAACCTGGCAAAAAATAAACAGATATTTGTGTAGAAAATGTTTTTGTTGTGGTTTTGATGCACTACATGCGGGATGTTAAGCCAAAATTCGCGTAGAATTGACGTTCACGCCGATTGCGCTAACTACGCCCGTGGGGATTCGCCCTCAATCTACCGAATTCTTGAATTTCTTCCTTTTCTATTACTGGGAGCCAACAGATAGCCATGTATATTGACAATTGACTGATATTTAAAAGGAGCCGACCAAGGGACCCGACTGGGTTCAATGGTCACTCCATGCACTCGAAGTACGAGTACTCCAAATAGGCAACTGGTATGGCTTTTTAGCGGATATAGAGTAGCTACGTTAATATTTCTTGAAATACCTACCTAACAAATTAATGAAATGAATAGCTACTATTTATGCAACGAGTGTAAAATAGTATATTGTTTAACGAATGACGAAAACAGCATTTTTTGCAACACTTCGCCTTCATTTGGTAATTGGTCTGTTTCTGCAGAAATCACAAACCAGTCAGAGCCAATTTCATTGGTTGAAAACAGTCAGAAAACTAGTTTCAACCAATGAAATTCACTCTGACTTGTTTGTGATTTTTGCAGAAACAGAGCTAATATATCAATTGTACTCAAAAGTTTGGGTCGCCGCACTCTGCACTTTGAAAATGCGAGTGTGCTCTATAGATAAGTAATTAATGGCGTTTCCGATAAGTAGTTTCAATGCACACTGAATGTATTATTTGCATCCTTTTAACCGACCTGTAGAAGAAAAAGGCGGAAAAAAAATTGCACAAGTTCCGCACTATAGTCGTATTGACGAGAGAGTTTTGAATTTTGACCGTTATTTTCACCTTGAAAATAAATAAAATCCCCAGATCTGTCCCTTTTTCTGACAACTATCAAATAATGATAAATGACATTTTGATTTGACACATAAAAATAACAGATTCGGGTCTTTGAATTTTGAATTTTTGTGTGAAATCTTTCAGTTTTTTGCCGTTTACTGCATTATTTTTTTATTTGTTATTATCGCAATCGGTTTTTTGGTTTTTTATGTAGTGTTCTGTGCCTTTGTGTTTCGGTGTTGCGTTTCAAACCTGGTTTTAGTTTGGATTTAATACTAAAAATTGTCAACGCGAACTGTCAACTTCACTTTCTATCGTGATTTAGTCTATAGATGCACCTATCGGAAACGCCCAAGGATAATACACACTACTACTACAGGATGGTCTATCCTCATAAGGACTGTATGACGTAGCAGCATGTTATTTCTCGCCTTGACGTAGGCTGTTTAAACAGCTGACGACTTAGTTATGACGTCGGAAATGGTGGCAAACCAATATGGCGGCGATTACCAAAAACGACGCCGATAAGTATTCCCTAGACTGAGTGTCTATAGGGTATGTCCATGTGACGTCACAAATGAGTTTGACAGTCGCCCTGAGGTAAAACAAATCATTGGGTACATTCAGGCGGTCCCAGCGGCTAAGCTCAGCCACTCAGCAGGGACTTTATTCTCGAAACCAAGGAACAGCGTTCTCATAAGTACGATTGCTCTGTCATTATCAGTGTTATGTCGGACGACAAAGACAGAACCTTCGTTCCAATGAGAACGCTGCTCTCCTGTTTCGAGAATAAAGTTCCTGCTGAGTGGCTAAGCTTAGCCATGGCTTAGCTGCTTGTACCGCCTGAATGTACCCATTTATTTACATTCGTGCAGATTAGGCCGGTTATGTTTTATGCGGTTCTCACAGCTTTTTTACAAGTTTTTGTGTTATTTTGTTTTAAATAAGTAAAGTTACTCTATCTCCAATCTATTTTTCTGTCAGATCTTCTCTTTTAAGGACATTACTCAATTTTTCTCTTCTTTCTTATATGCTAACAAATCAAACCCTTAAATTCTTAACTAAACCGTTGGCGCAAACCGCTAACGACGTCGTTGAGGACGTCAACAATACCATATAAACTAGATTCCAGAATCGAGGCCGAAGAGCAATCCTGTAGTAGTGTGTAATATCCTTGATGTAGCTTAGTCGAGTTCAGAAATGCGCGGTTTCCAACGCTCGAGTATATTAAATTCATTAGGATACGAGTGAGACCAAACAGCAATTGATGAAATTTTGAAACTGAAAAATACCGGTAAAAAACGATTAATTTATATCGGTTCCGGTTCTGCCTGTTTTACAACATTTCTATGAAATATGGATTTCGTTCCCGGTTACGGTCTGCAAAAGAAAAACGGTTCTGTTCCCGTTTTTCGGTTCAATATTGTTCCGCTCCTGGTCTCTGCTAGCAAACGCTCATCTATTCGTGGGAATATTATGGAAGAAAAGCACTGAACTTGAATTTTCAAGTATAACGAAACGAAATCCTGATAATTGAAATTAATTAAAAAATGCCCCTTATCAACTAAACATGAACCAGCCCAAAAAAGTAAGGAACCTTGATCCACGTTCTTATTAGGTCTACTGTTCTCACAGAAATCACAAACCAGTCAGAGCTAACAAGTGTCTATGCAACAACCAGTTTTCCGATTATTTTCAACCAATGGAGTTTTGCTTAACCCGCGTGACTTGCTATTGAGAAACCGGCCCTTAGATGAGAGCTTGGACCAGTGTTGGCAGACAATACACACTACTACAGAATGGCTCATCGGCATCGATTTTCGGAATCTAGTTCATATGGTCTTGCACCGTTACCGACGTCATCAACGGTGTTGTTAGCTGTTTGCGCCAGCGGTTGTAGTTTGGAATTGAAGAAAAATATTATTTAATTTTGACCAATATAATAGGCAGAGAGAAAAATGCAAACGAAACCTAAAAAAGGGGTGTCTGATTGTTAATTAATGTATTTAAAACCCGATTGATACGGTTCACCGTATCATCCCTGCTTAAAGCTTCGTACACACTTTTGAACATTTACCCCGAACAAAAAACAGATCATCGAACCGAACGACAATCGAGATTCACAAGCTCCGGAGTTACTCATTCGAAGTGAACAAAGGTTTGTTTGTTTGTGTCGCACTAACTTGAACTCGGTGACTTGAACTAGCTGTATTTCAGTTTCAGATGATTGGCCGATGAACCAAAACGCTCACAAACGAACGCCCCAAAGCAGGAAGTGCTGCCCCGAACAACAGAAAAAACAAACCTATTCAGAGTAACTCTCAAAAACAACACTTTTTTTAATCCAAGTGACATTCTGCGGCTGATATCCTGCGCAAATTACTAGTAAAGTGGTTCCTAGGGCTTCATTGCTCACTACTAAAATCAACAATACATGTAAGGATTTAGCTTAAATTTTAAAAAAATACTGCAGGCACAATTATTTTGTATTTGGCGCTATTCTTACCGGAAGCATAAACGTAACTGTCACCGCTGTCAAATTTGGCTGCCATTTTTGTTCGTTTCCTCTAGCTGTCTTTTCCGCAAAGGACAGAAACATGACGGGGTTTAGCCAAAAGGTATTTTTGTTTATTTCAAGTTTAATGCCTCATTCTATTTGATTTTTGTAGTCAAAATTGTTCACAAAAGTTTATTGTAGTGTTTAGTTTTTGCCTCCCTCAAAAACTTCACATTTTAGTGGAGAAAATGCGTCTTTTGTGTGACCTAACCTAAACGTGCCCCATAAGGACACACGTGTATTTGTAAATTTTTTCTGTAATCAATGTGGATTTTTTTTCAAATTGTAGCCCATCCTCATCGACGGAAGGGGCCACTTGTTGGGTCGCCTAGCCGCAATCGTAGCCAAAACTCTTCTTCAAGGAAATAGAGTTATTGTTGTAAGATGTGAACAACTCAACATCTCCGGCAACTTTTTCAGGTAAAGAATTTTTTTTCTGAATAATAAATTAAAATTATTGCTAGCTAAGATAAAAATGTACCTGAGTGAACGATTTGATTTTCGTTTCTAGGAATAAATTGAAGTTCATGTCATTCTTGAGAAAAAGATGTAACATTAATCCTGCTCGTGGACCATTCCACTTCAGGGCTCCTTCCAGAATTTTCTGGAAAACTGTCAGAGGTAAGATTTTGAATGTGTAAATATAATTTTTTTTAATAATGAGGATTTATAATCAAATCTTTAAAAAAATCTGTTCTCAGATGATTGAGATTGAATTATTTGATTTAATCCAATGCGTAAATGCCTCAATGATGCCCATTTATAATGGCGTTTCCGATTGGTAGATTTAGTGCGGAACTAGTGCAATTTTTTCTATTTCTGTCTTTTTCTTCTACAGGTCGATTTAAAGGATGCAAGTACTTTTGCTCTCATTTGACAGTCATTAAAAATAATCAGGGCTTTGCATGTGCTCTAACCACATCATACTTATACAGCTTGGCCCATGCAAAACTTTGATGACATATCAAATTCATTAATCGAGAGCAAAAGTATCGGCCCTCAGTGCGCACTAAGGGCCGATACTTTTGCTCTCGATTAATAAATTTGATACATTGTCAAAGTTTTGCATGGGCCAAGGACTATAAGTATGATGTGGTTAGAGCACATTCAAACCCCTGATTATTTTTAACAGCTATGAAATGAGAGCAAAAGTACCAGCACTAAATCTACCAATCCGAAACACCAGAAATCTCAGCTAGTTACTCCTTATGATTCAAGATTCAAGACCAAAAAAGTTTTAATATTGACTACAAATACTGCCTTAGCTGGCATGATTTCGATTTTACTTAAAATTTGAATTTGAGAATTGAGTGATCAAAAAACCACGTTTATTTACAATCATACATGTAATGTTGACTTTACTGACTTTTAAAAAGTTCGAAAATGTCACTTTTTTTACGGGTCGAAAGTTTACTTTCGACCCGTGGGCCGAAAGTAAATGAAATTTTTAAAACTTGTATTTTTTTACTTTTACTTTCGGCCCACGGGTCGAAAGTAAACTTTTGACCCGTGGGCCGAAAGTAAATAAAATTGTCAATTATTGTATTTTTTAGTTTTAATTCAAATAAATATTTCAAAATTCGAATGATTGTAAATAAAATAGTATACATACCTCGGTGAAAAGTTTCATTACTGTCTCGAGATTTTAGTTAGACCTCGGCTGTGCCTCGGTCTAACTAAAATATCTCGACAGTAATGAAACACTTTCCACCTCGGTATGTAATATACTATTTCAAACATGTTTTAATGGGTATGATAAAGTTGTCAGTCAGATAACTACCTTTATTTTTGGATATTTGTACTTGATTCTGCAAATACATAATGCAGAGTATTTGTATTTGGTACTTGCATTTAGTGATGTAAGTTGAGAATGTTCCCATGCGAATATTCGTGAACATTCTTAGACTTATTTTTTGTAAAATTGGGAATTTCCCGTTGATGAATAAATTAAAAAAAAAAAAAAAAACATTGGGAAATTTCCGAGGGGCAAACCACTCCCCGCAATACATGTACATTTTATTAAAATTTCTTCGAAATCACAAGTAAATCCTGCATTCTTCGTTAGACAGTCGCCAAAATAGCCCGAAATCCCGCATTCTTCTTCGCATTCGCAGAAATCACGTTCGCAGTCGCAGAAATCATGTTCGCAGTCGCAAAAATCGTGTTCGCAGTCGCGGAAATCTTGTGAATGCGGTCATAGGAGCATGTCTAAATTTCTCGTCACAGCCTCCGAAATCGCTCAAAATCAATGTGGCAATCGCGCAATCACAAGTATTTTTTCGCAATCCCTTCCGCAGTCCTGCAATAATCATTTTGCAGTCCCGCAATCTTGGAAATCATTTGGATTTTCATGGCAATCGTGGAAATCATTTCTATTTTCATGGCAATCTTCGAAATCTCTTAAATTCTCATGGCAGCCCTGGAAATCGCAATGATTGCCAAGAAATCATAGGATTTCCGCAATATGTGTACATTTTTAAGAGGAGTGGTTTGCCCTACTCCCCGCAACACATGTAAATTTTATTTAAATTTCTTCGAAATCACAAGCAAATCCTGCAGTCTTCTTAGACAGTCGCCAAAATAGTCCAAAATCCCGCATTCTTCTTCGCATTCGCAGAAATCACGTTCGCAGTCGTGGAAATCATGCGGCATAGGGGCATGTCTATATTTCTTTTCGCAGTCTCCGAAATCACTCGAAATCAATGTGGCAATCGCAAGTTTTTTTTTCGCAATCCCTTCCGCAGTTCTGCAATAATCATTTTGCAGTCCCGCAATCTTGGAAATCATTTGGATTTTCATGGCAATCTTCGAAATCTCATAAATTCTCATGGCAGCCCTGGAAATCGCAATGATTGCCAAGAAATCATAGGATTTCCGCAATACATGTACATTTTTTAGAGGAGTGGTTTGCCCCTCGGAAATTTCCGAGAGAATTTCATACATCTGTCAAAACTGACATTCCAACAATAAACTGACATGTTTTGATTGTTGATTGATCAGATTGGAATTACGCGATATAGTGCAAATTATCAGATAATAGGGTACTTGCATCAAAATTTTTTATTGCTGATTTCGTTAGTCCATAAAAAATAACGGCGGTTATCTGACAATACCTGCTAACTGACATTTTATTCAAAAATGAGATTTTTCTACAGTTAGCCTTGTATTTTTGTTAGGCACAATACGATAGAGCCTGCTATCTGCTATCTGCTTTCAATTAATATTTAATATGTCTGTTTAAAATTTAGATATTCAGTTGTAAATTTATTTAAATAAGAACGGTTGTTGTTTTTTCTTTTTCTTATTTATTTATTTATTTATTTATTTATTTATTTATACTCCTACATACACCTTTCCTTTAACAGGTACTTACAATACAAGAGTGCTTACTGATACCCTAACATCCACTATGGCTAAATTACAAAGAAACACAAAAAGTTAGACTTATACTAAGTTACACATTGAATATAAAATATAAAAAATAAAAAATATAAAAGAACAATCACAGAGATTTATAAAAAAAAAACTAGTAAAACTTTGGTATTAAAAAAAAGATCTTATGGCAAAGGTATTTGTATTAAATAAATCAATATCACATTCCCTCACCAATCTGTTACATTCGCGAAGCATATTGTTTAGAGGCGAACAGCTCAATACATTATCCTGAAATATCTTTTGTTCAATATTTCTAAGCACAATTTTAGGAACATGGAATGCAATTCTATTAATTAAATAACTGTGCCTGTACTTGACGCTATTTAAAATATGACATACAAAGATAACACACTGCATACTTCTCCTGGTACCCAATTTTTTAATATTAAATTTTTTTAGCATTGAGCATAAGAGATCATATTTATTTATTTATTATCAGTAGTATAACAAAAATATACATAATACTATTATATATGTATTCACAATAAATAATAACAACTTATTCCTACTGACTATTCGGTGCACAATGATATTCATAATATTGTGTGTGCACCCATTTCATTGCAAGTTTAATACTATTTGAGGTAGGTTACCCATATATATATATATATATATATATATATATATATATATATACATACACACACACATATACATATATATATATAATAATATGTGTCTAGGTCTAATAAAAATTAACAAAAATGAGCAATTTGTTCACTGATTATGTTCAGCATGAGGTATGTATGTTCCAGAAGGAAAAAAAACAGACAAACAGGAAAAATCACAACCGATAGCACCGAAGTTTAAACCAAAAGGCTGTCTAGATCAAATAATTAATCTTATAGTTATTTACAAGTATCCATTTAGTAATTTCGGATTTGGCTGTGGAGTAGTTTTGCGTTTTAAATTTACCTGGTAGGTCATTAAATATTTTATTTTCTACTTTACTATTATAGATCCATAATACCTAGCAAACGAAATACGTTAACACACCCATAACAACCTGATCCATAACGCCCGCTTTTGCGGGCGTTATGATCTATAACGCCCGCTTATAATACCTTAAGGTGTTTTTGTTGTTGTTGTTCTATTAATTTGCACTTTACCCTAGGCAGCCACTAAATGTCTGACCGAAAATAATTTTCGGTCTAGCCAGGATTCGAACCCGGTCTACCATCAATGTTTCCCATGTAGTCCAGCGCGTTAACCCACAGGACCACCACCGTTGCCTTGCCTTATGAGATGTTTATAGATATATTAATTTATTTCGTTTCTATGTACAGGTCGCAGGTACAGGTACAGGTCACAGGTACAGGTACATGTCAAAATACAAAACAATATTCTGTCACACAAGTTTAACTGATTTTGTTAAGTACAAATTGATGAAAAAACATTGTGTTGAGTAGAAAATAAAGCATTGTATGCACCACGGGGATTTCAAGATTATAATGCCCTTCAGGCGAAATATATCCCTCGGGCCATAGGCCCTCGGGCTAGTTTCGCCTTCGGGCATTATAATCTACATAATCCCCTTGGTACATAAATAGCTATTAGGCCCTACACAATATATGTGATTCTGACAACGTGCATGTTTAGGGTTCTGCAATTCCACATTTCCATGACCCACACCTCTGGTATTCACTCCATGTGCTAAATCTACTCTAAAGTAATTGTTTTTCAGCATAAATCTAATTATTGATTTTATGTATAGCTGTTCAAGATTGAGAACACCGCTGTCATTGAATACCAAATTTGTGGGATACCTCCTTTCTTTAAAAAGAATAATTTTTAAAATCCATTTTTGTGCAACATGCAATTTTGATAGAATTGAAACGCCAGCCTTTCCCCAAACCACTATCCCGTAATTCAAAATTGATTCAACAAGAGAGTAATAAATCATTTTAAGTGTTGTAAAGTCAAGGATGTTCCTTAATTCATAAAATTTGTAGATTAGCTTTCTTATTTTCTTGGTCACATAATGTACATGTTCCTTCCAATTTAAATTTTCATCCAGAATCACCCCTAAGTATAATAATGAAGGTGTTCTAACAATAAATTTGTTACAGCTGCATTGCAGTTCAAAAACGCACTGCGTTTCATGCATTTTAAGTTGTTGGAAATCAGGAAGTGTATGTGTAGAAAGAGAGAGGGTCATAAATTTAGTTTTTTCTATGTTTAATGATAGAAGACTATCATCCAACCATCCCTTTATCTTCTGTAGTGCTGACTCTGCTCTTTTTTTTACAATTTCCCAGCTAGCTCCATTTAGGACAATAGCAGTGTCATCAGCAAAGCAAAAGACAATATCCTCCCCAAATAATTCCATTATTCCATTTATATAAATATTAAAAAGAAGAGGTGAGAGAACAGTTCCCTGCGGCACACCAGACTCCATTCGAAGTTTATCACTCTGCTGATCTCCAATCTTTGTGCTTTGTGTTCTACCACTCAAGTAGGATTTAATCAGCTCATTTGGAATACCTCGAATTCCCATAGTGTCTAATCGATTTAGGAGAATTTGGTGTGAAACAGTGTCAAAAGCCTTTTTTAGGTCTAAGAAGATTGCTATTACTTTATTACCCTGATCTAAGTTTTTCAAAATTCCCTCTGAAACCCTCACAAGTGCATTTTCAGTACTTAGGTTCTCTGCAAAGGCAAATTGGTTTTTATGAAGTAAATTGTATTGCTCTAAAAATGTCAATAGTTTTTTCCTAAGACACTTTTCAACAATCTTGCTAATGCTGCTAGTCAATGCTATTGGTCTGTAATTCGATAGTGATTTTTTATCCCCGTGCTTATATAATGGAATAATTACAGTAGTTTTAAGAATATCGGGAAAAACACCTGTACTGAAAATGAGATTAGTTATATGCCTGAGAGGGTTACACAGTGTATCTTTATATTTTTTTATTAGATTCGAAGAAATATCGTCCTCCCCACCCTTGACTCCATTTTTCAAACCCAATATCATTTCCTTCACATCTTCATTTGAGACAGGACCCAAAAAAAATGAATGAACACTCCCCTCCTTCACACAATTTACCACCTGATTGCCCTGTATTATTTTTTCTGCCAGCCTTTTTCCAATGTTACAGAAATAAGTGTTAAATTCATCTGCTATCTGTTTCTTACCTGTTAGATCCACATTTAATACACTTGTAATACAATTAATTTCCGATTTATTGTCCTGATCATTGGTGGCCTCTTTAATAACTTCCCAAATTTTTTTCTGATCATGTGCACACCCTCTTGTTAACATTTTATAATAAAAATATTTGGCACTTTTTATTAGCTTACTTAAAGTTTTTCTATAATTTTTGTACCTATTTATAAGTATTTCATTGTTTTGGTTACGAGTACATTCTTTTTTTAGGCGATCTCTGGTTTTAATTGATACCAAGAGGCCACCAGTGATCCATGGCTTTAACCTTCTATATTTACCAGATATAATCCTCACAGTAGTGGATTCAGAAATCATATTTTTCAATTTACTTATAAACACATTTGTACTCAGCAGTACGTCATTTTCCTGCAGAACATCACCCCAATTCTCAGCCCTCATCTCCCCAGAAAGTTTTTCATAATTTATAATTTTGCAAAATGTTTTTTTATTAGTAAAGTTTTGAGTTGGATTTCCCAGTGGAATGTTGACCAAGATGAATGATCTGAAAGATCACTCTCTAAAACAACAGAACTGATATTTTCAAAAACATTACCTTGACACTTCACAAAACAATGGTCAAGACAGGATCCCCCTCTCTCAGATTTCCTAGTTATTTCATTCACTGTGCTTCCAAATCCATTTCCATGCATTACAGTCAGATAATTATTTGTCAATTGTGAATCAGTCGCCAACAAGTCAATATTCATATCACCAACAAAGACCCACACATTGTTCTGATTCATGTTCAAGGTCTGGAGCATTCTTTCTAAACTTTCTAGATATTCTCCTATTGGCAAAGCAAAGGATCTGTATGTAGCCAAAATGCTAACAGTTCTACTGTTTTTGTTCAGTGTAGCTTTAATAATTTTTAGTTTATTATGTGAGATCACTTGGCAATCAGTACAATACTCCTGCTTGACATAGACAATACAGCCATCACACCTGTTTAAAGTGCTTTCATTGAAAAATATTGTGTATCCGGGTATGTTGAAATTATTCAGGCAATACACATTATGAGACTCTGACATTACTATAATATCAAAGGATTTAGCAATAGATTCCAAAAATACTTGAAATTGATCAAAATTTTTGTAAATGCTCCTAATATTTACATGTATTAAGTTTATATCACTGGCATCATTATCAAAAAACCTTATTTGTGATAAATCTTCACAGGTATATGTTTTTGAGATCTTAAAGTGATCCAAAATATTATTTAATTCTGCGAATGTTTAATATTGATTTAATATATTACCTTTACTTATCTATTTTAGATGAGATCCTGCTCTCTTCTAATTTTTATAGGCTGGTCGAGGTCAGACTTTTTCAGGTATATAATGCCATTTAGACAGAATGCAGCTCGGTATCCTTTTTGCCTTTTTGCCTCCCTTGTTTTTCTAAAGAGTTCTCGCTTGCCAATAGGTAAGTCCTCATTGATATACAGCCTACGATCTTCCCCAGCCAAATCACACTCCCTTGTAGTTAGGCCTTTTCTTAGTTTGATTGCCTTAATAATATCCTTTTTGGTTTGTGTGTCGAGTAACTTCACCAAAATTGGGCCATCCTCGTTCTTGTTCACCCTGTAGCTTTCTGAGATAACTTCATTGTTTGAAGGCAGCTTCATTGCTTTAAATACTTTGGTAACAATAATATTTGTACTTAGCTCAGGCTGTTTTGGTATACCTGAAATAATGAGGTTTCTTGATTTTTCAGCCACTTCCATGCTTTCTAATCTCTCCTCCAAAGAGGACAATCTTTGCTTCAATTCCACATTTTCTTTTTTAAGGGTCAGTGTCTCCTCAAGAATCTTGTCGAATTTTTGTTTTTGCTCTTCAAAAGAATCGGACATGAACTGTATGGAATCCTGAATAACACTCATTTTTTCCTCCATTGTTTTTTGAACAGGTTTAAAGAATTGATGGAAGGACTCCTTGATAATTTCCCTGAGTTTTCTTTCATCCATTTTCACCAAGTTTTCTCCCTTTTCGCTGTTCTTCCTTCCTTTTTGTGGGTTAACCTTACTTTTTTTTAGGTCTTCACAACAAGTGAATTTTCCGTTGCTGTTTTGGGTTTCCACCCTACTTGAGCAACTTGGGTGATAGCAGGCCTCACACAGGCAACAGATTACAGCATCCAACACTCCTTTTTTACAATATTTACACGTTTTTCCGAAATTTTTTGCCTGACTAAAATTCCGATCTCTATCCATAACCTAACCTCAAACATCAATATATATATAAGGATATACACTATGTGTCCTAATAAATAAATATCTTAAAAATCTTTTCTGGACTTTTTCTTAGTCAAAAATTGAGGGAGATACAACACTATGAAATATGCCTATGACGTCACATCCCTGTGGGATTCCAACATTGATGTTCATGCGTTCTGACTCACCATCCTGAAATCTTACGGTCTGCGATCTACTCGACAAGTAGGAGCGAAACCACCTCAAAGCACCACCCCGAAAACCAAGATTAAACAAGGAAGCATAATCAGCAAAGACTTAAACAGGGACGCTGTCTATTAGCAACACTTTTTAAAATATACTTAGAAAAGGCGCTTATTAAGGGGTGGGAAAGAAAATGCAGATACATGACTACTGTCCAATTTTTTAGTGCATTTTTTGATCCTATGTTATAGTTATGGAAGTCTTTACTTTTTTTAATATGTGGTTTACTTTATAGCGTTATTTCTAGCTGATCTTACAGAAAAAAAATAAGTTTTTTTGTTTTGTTTTATATTTTATAGTCAGAACACTACAATAATAAATAAGGCTTACTACTGATTTATCTGATTTTGCTATAAATTTAAAAAGAAAAAACAATATTTTCATAAGTTCCCGAAAGTTGCCAATATTTCCAGTAAGTTTTCGAGAATGTTCGCGGCTTTTGAATGTTTCGGGAATTTTACATCACTACTTGCATTTAGAATAAGTTATTTAATTCAATCTCTGGATTAACCGAGCCAATCTAAAAACTCAAAGATCTGGATTATCCCAGTCGGATAATCAAGAATCTACTGTATTTCTATTTGCAGCATGAATTCCCTGTAATTGATACTTGATATTTGAAATACTATCTCCACTATTTGTGACAGCTTTGTGGTATGATTAATAGAGTTGAAATAGGTTAAAGTTTTGTAAACGAAAATCTAGTGGCACCTTTTCCTTAGCTTTAACAGAGAAATAATAATTTTTCGTCCTCCACATGATTATAGATTATCTTACCTACATTATTTGACAAAATAATGAAACCAACTCTTAAGAAAATGACGATAATTCTGTTTTTCCAGCACATTGTAACTAATAAGAGGCATCAAATAATGTGAAATAAAATCTATTTTCAGGAATGTTGCCACACAAAATTGAAAGGGGAAAGCAAGCTCTTCGTAAACTAAAGGCTTACGAAGGTATCCCACCTCCATATGACAGGAGGAAGCGCGTCGTTGTCCCTGGAGCTTTGAGAGTAGTTTGCTTGAAACCAGGACGTAAAGTAAGCAGTTATCATTATTTTATATTTTATTTAAATAAACATTTCCATGATTACAAAATATTACCTACATTATTTGACCAAAATAATGAAATCAAAAATAAAGATTATGATGCAATAATCTAGTCTCTACACGATTCAACATTCTTCTCAAACAAAAAATACAACTACTTTTTTGTTTTTCAGTTCTGTCATGTAGGACGCCTTTCAAACGAAGTCGGCTGGAAATACCAGTCCGTGGTCCGTACATTGGAAACCAAACGTAAGGTCAAGGCTGTTTTGGCTATTCGCAAGAGAGACAAACTCAAGAAGATCACCAAGCAAGCTTCTGAGAAGGTGGAGAAACAAGTTACACCCTTCACACAAGTTATTAACACTTATGGTTATAATTAAGACATTTAAAATAAAAATTTTAATAAATTATTTTATTGGTTTTATTTAGGTAAAACCGTCAAGCCAGTCTTTTATTTTCGATAGCCCAATTATAGTTTTTTCTTTTACATTTTGCCATGTTCCAGCTGAGAATAGTGCTGCTGTATCGTCTGCATATAAAATTAGGGATCCACTATCAGTTTGTAGGTCTGTCGAAGAGTTTATGTATGTGATTAAAAGTATCGAACCCAAAACGTACTACTATTTTAACATTTGAAGGATGACTAGTTGTGTCTCCAATTTTCAGATATTATTTGTTTTCATTTAGATAGTTCTCAAAGACACTCAACACAGTTCCCCTAACACCATACCCAAACCAGAAATACTGTGATACACTTCTCACTCCTATCCAAGCTCTCTGTAATAAGTTTTGTTGTTGAAGGCAATTTTGAACCTAAAATACGCCTTGATAGCATCTGAGCATGTATATTTCTACTTGAAAGAAGTAAAAAAACCTGGCAAAATGTAGTTGAATTGCAATTTTACACCCATTTAGGATAGTTTTTCTTCATATTTCGATAGAAAAATCCAAAAGGAGACACATGTAGAACGTCTTGTGGTTTTTAACCAAAACTCAAGCCATCACTAGGATTTTTTTTTAATTTCAATGCAGCAAACCTACGTTCTTAATGTAAATTAGAAACTGATATTATTAAAAACTAATTTAATTATTTAAATTGGAATCGGAAACAATTTGAAAACAGACCCTAGCAACTCCTGAACAATCAACGGAATGATCAAAACAGTTTGCCGCACTCAATGCACTTGCACAATTCTGAAGCAGATAATGCAAAGCATGTTATCAACTTATTTGCTGATCAAATTGCTAAATATATACAGGGTGAGTAACTAAGCGCGCGGTGGACGATATCTCCTATACTAACGGAGACCGAAGAAAAGCTTCTACAGCTTAAACCAAAAATAATTTCAAAAAAAGTTAAATACAAAAGTTGTAGGGTTTTATCTCTATTATCTTTTGCAAATGTCAAAACGGCCAACTGTCATAATGACATACACTGCATTTTTTTCAATGGAACACCCTGTATATTTTTGGCTAGAATGATAGATTTTTTCTTCTGATTCCAAGTATACCATATCTGTTGATATTTGGTTCAGTAGTTTTTGCGCTATTTAATTTTAAAATTGCATTGAGCAAGCCTTATTATTGATATAAGAAACCGGACAGACCTAATTTAGGGTAATGCAAATGCATTTTTAAACCTAAATAGCGTAAAAACAGCTGAACCAAATATCAACATATATGGTATATTTGGAATCAGATGAAAAAATCTATCATTCTAGCCAAAAATATACAGGGTGTTCCATTAAAGAAAAATGCAAGTGTTTCTCATTTTAACAGTTGGCACTTATCATTTGCTCATTTTCACATTTGCAAAAGATAATAGAGATGAAACCCTAACTTTTGCATTTAACTTTTTTTCAAATTATTTTTTGTTTAAGCTGTAGAAGCCGCACTAATTATAAGGAAAAGACCCTGTACATGAAATATGTCTAGAATTTTCCGCAGAATCCAGAAATGTCATAATATACAGGGGGAGCTATTAAAATAAAAAACATAATTTTGTGTCACCACTATGTATTACTCGTGTTTATCTACAAGTTTTGTATTTAGTTTTTTCTTTGATCTCCATTAGTATAGAAGATATGGACTACCGCGCGCTTAGTAACTCACCCTGTATATTCACAAATGAACTAAGAATAATTTTTCTGGAGATAGAGAAAATTAATCAGGATATTTTGTTTTCTATGTAAAAACCATTTGAAATCTTTAAGAAACATCCTGTATTTGTGGTATTGTCAGCAAAGTACCCAATTGCTAATCTGATTTACCGTCCGATGGTAAATTTGAAATACTTATTGATATTGGAAATCATTTAAACTGAATAGAAACGGAAATGTATAGTTTCCTTTTCCTGCCTTTTGGATGGAAAAGAAAGGAAAATTCATTAAGCATTCAACTGCTCAACTGTTTTCAACATTTGAGCCACCATCTTTCATATTCCATCATGTAACTTATTTTATTTGGTACACACTGGATTGAAAAAAAAGTTGCTCAAATTAACATATTTTTATTAACAACAACTTCTAACAGTATTTTCATTAAATATTGAGAATAAATTTCACTAAACAATAGACAAAAAGTTAGTATATTATAATACAATCTGACTATGGCACTAAAAAGGAAGAAAAATAACTATTGCACTCTGCAAGCAGTTTCACCTTCACATTGCATATTTTCACCAATTTGACCGCCTTTAAGTAAAGTATTTACAGTGGCCCTCGCTAAGTAGCCTGTTGATTGCATGTAAGGAATTTCCATTAGAAAGCCTATTTTTTCTTCTGTCAAGTTGTGGTCCTGAAACAAAAACAAAACTCTATTTTACCAGGAAACCATTAAAAACCGTTCTAATTCAAATTTATTATAGACAATACTTTCTATTTCAGGTAATTAGTTTTCAATGAAGTAGGTACCTACTTATATGAGAGGCTAAAACAAAATCTGCCTGCATTTTTAAAATCATTGGCTAAAATGAAAGTAACAATTTTTGTGCTTCTTTTTGCTACAAGTGCATATTCCCAATTTCCAAATGGTAGATCATTAGAAAGACCCATACCAGAAATGTGCGCCGAGAGAACCATCCATGAAACGTCACCGTTTGGGCAAAATTATTTTTATTCATGGAGAGGTAATAATCAATATTTGCAGTTTATTTTTTAATATTTGAAATTCTTTTGTAGAGAATATTGACGAAGAAGATTGGCTAGGAAGCAGAAATATATGTAGAATGCGTTGCATGGACGCCGTTTCCCTTGACACTAAGCATGAAAATGAATGGATAAAAGAAAAAATCAAAAATGAAAATGTGGCAGAAATTTGGACATCAGGAAGAATCTGCGACTTTAAAGTAAGTTTCCAACCATAATAAATATACAAAAAAACTAAATTTTTGTTCATTAGGGTTGCGATAGACCAGATCTTTTGCCGAAAGATATTAATGGTTGGTTTTGGACAGCAATTTTTAAAAAAATGGCACCGACTACAGATAGGGAAGCTAACGATTGGTCTTCTACCGGAGGACTTGGTTTTCAACAACCTGACAACAGGTAAGAAAATTAGTATTCCAGTGTCTTGGCCTTAGATGAAATAACTAACTTTTACTCCTGAGACCTGTCTATAATTTCTCAATAATTGAAAAAGCAGACATCCTCACTTTTCCCTTTTGTAAACTAACCCTATTTAAAGGGGACCTTGTATTTTACATTACATCAATTAGGTATCATCTCATATAGAGAAAATATAAGTTATAAAACGCATCAATATTAGGGCAAATCGGAAGTCTCTTGTTTTGTATCTTTACCGCATCAATCACTGTATTGTATTACTTTTCAGGGAATCAATTTATGGCAAAACTGAAAATTGTTTAGCTGTCCTAAACAACGTCTACAACGATGGTATTCGCTGGCACGATGAAGTATGCACTAGAAGACGTCATTACATATGCGAAGACAGTGAAGAACTACTACGATATGTCAGATATATCAGACCTGATTTAAATATTAAATAAATACATTACGTTAATCATTATAATTTACAGCTGAAGTTGTTTTAATAATTTCTTACTTTAGCATACATATGGGCAGCCTCATTAATCAACTGCCTCAAATCCAAAGGTTGATTGAAAGTCAATTCTGGATTTCTCCCTAGAATTGTAGAAACTATGGTCAGCAATTCTACCACCAATTGTCTGTATTCGGGCACGTTTATGTGATTTAACATCTAAAAATAATAAATTAAAAAATGGTATTTTTATTCTCAAAAAAAAAAACTTACTTGTTCTACAAGTAAAGAAAACGTCAATTCATTTTTCGTCATATTCGACATTGTAGGTTCCTGAGGAATAATGTTTCCTTCGACAATAACACCTTTAGGAGTTCGCAGCATAACGTCCCAGACCTCATTGTAAAATGTATGAGGTACTCGGCACAAGCAGCCTTCCAGTTGCCTTTTTTGAAGAGGAGTTAATCTAGAATAAAGAAAAAAATTCTTGGGTGCTACTTAATATAAAAAATAAAAGCTTACTGTTTGTTGTCTTGCGATGTCCATTCTCTAATTGACAAAATTTTGTACACCAGCAGCCTGATTTCAAACGGACTGTGGTCTTCCAGCTTCTTTGTGTTTTTGATAATTTGTAGGTAGTATTTCATGGCTTCCAGCACCCAACCAACGCGAATTTTTAAAATACCTTAAATGGCAAAAAAGTAAAAGAGAGTTAACAACTCGAATTTTGAGAGTTAGTTTTAAAAAAAAATTATTTTCAAGCGTGGTTACAATACAACTGACTTAAACCTAAGTAAAATGAATATTTATAATTATAAGCTTTGCTGACAAACCGGTTCCCATGAAATGCAACGGTTGGTCTAGTTTTGAAAACAAAGTAACAAAATGCTTAACTATAAGTTTACGAGAATGTAACTCCTCCCGTGTAAGTTGGAAGCACGCACTGAAAAATAAAAAACGTGATTTCACAAAAATATAAATAAATTAAAAAATGCCTTCAACTTCATCACTTTCAATTTTTGGGAGTTTTCGAATTTTCTTAATGCATAATAAGCTGAAAAAGTAAATTAAAATTAATATAATAATTAAGTACAATAATAATATTGTCCAGAGACTGAGGCGATTTGAATAAATCGTCGTGGTTGACATTTCTTCAAGTTTCTTCTTTTGCTCATGAAATTTTTATCTTATGTCTTTGGATGTCTTGACGTTAATGATGTTCAAATCCAATGAAGGTAGGTCGTAGGGCATTGATTGATTATGGTTAATCAATGATAGGTGCAATATCGGTAAATTGACTTCTTTGAAAGAGAGTCGACTTGGCTTGAAGCTCTCGAGGGTGGTTGATTGTATTTGGGCTTTACAATCAACTGGCACTTCTAGTAGCTAAGATCCGAAGATGGGTACAGTTTCCTTTAGGAATAGGAACTGTAACGAGCCATTTTCCATCAATAATTTTGGTTATTTGCGGTGCGTGCAATTGAACTTCGAAAGGATGATAAGATGTGATGTTTGTATTGTATTTAATCAGCTGTACTTCGCATGGAAGGATTTTCGATAAAGGTAGTACGAGCTTCTTGGCATAGGTACTCATCAGGCGAGATTTCTTCACAACGTTGGTCCATATAGGAGTATTTTACGTCACTAAGTGCTAGGTATGGCTTATGTCGGATGTTGCCGAAAAAGGTTTGATTATGGTTTGTTGGGATAGGTAATGGATGTAGATTGAAGTATTGATACCAATGACATCAAAACACAGATAGACCGAACAATAAACAAAATTTTCGTATGACAACATCTCTCTGTCTCTTTTGGGTCTTTGTGCTATCCCCACCACTGAGAATGCCAAATTTTGTCTTGAAACCCTAAATAATATATTTTTATCCTTTTCTAATTAACGTTTTCAATTTTACTTCTGAACTCAATTTGGCAACAGCAGATTGTAGCAAAACACCGGCCAGAAGCGGCTTGTTGAATGGCAGGCAGGTGTTTGTTGGAGTAGCTAGCTATCTTTATCGCAAACAGGGATCATTTATTAGCGTTAAATAAGAAACGACCGATACGATATTGGTACTCCCAGAATAAAGGGCTCGTATCGAATATTTTCAGTTTATTTGTCAATTTGTTATTTTATTTATTCATCCAATTAAATTTCGAGATATATTCACGTGTGGGCGGGGTTTTTTACACCATTTTGAGCAATGATGTCTCCCTACCACGACCCCGCGAGCAACTCACCTCCCCTGGCCCATGGGTGGTCTTGTCAACACAACAAATAACAGTTTATGAATGGGATGATCCGTCTATCTGTGTTTTGATGTCATTGATTGATACACATCCGCTTCTACAAGTGGGAGTTCCAATATAAATATGACATTAAAATCTTTTTAGAAACATTTAATTTGTAGAAATTTCTCGAAAATCAGTATGTTTTCAGGTACTTGAGAAATTGGTAACCTATCTGGGTTCAACATTTTTAATTTCAGATAAAAGTTCGTTTGGGTTCACTATCGAGTTATGTAAGGTGTTAAGTTTGGCAAAACTTATAGCTACTTCCAATTTATCAAGAATACTATAAATTGATTGATACATTAAAGTAGGTATTTGATTAATTACTGTGAACGTTATAAAATAACCTCGAATATTTTGGGTCAGATTAGCATCCTTAATTACTTGTTCAATTTGTAAAATTCGGGATCGAAGGACCAATTCGTTATGTGTTATATTAGAAATCATTTTTTCGAATTTATCAATCGTAGAGTCCATTGGTGATTTGATTGATTGCGTCCGATTTAAGCTTATTCTGATTTTCTTGTAATAGTTTAATTTTCTCGTCGATTTTCTCGGCGTCATTTTGGTCTATATTTTCAGTAATGATTTTTATAAATGAGCCCAAAGGATTAAATAATCCTCTCTTATTTCTATTTGAATTTCTTATTGTTGGAACAATTTGTTCAATTAGATTTTCTATGCGTGTTTGTAGAGTATGTAGGGATACGAGCGAATTCGTATATTCAATATAAAAATTGTCCTTAGAGCTAATATTGGAAGATAAGCGCCTTGCTTGTATTTTAAGAGAGTCAAATTGGTTTATTATGGGAGTCAAATTGGTTTATTATGGGAGTCAAGTTAAAGGTTTGTGCAAAGGACCATGAATTGGATATCATTTTGGCGGTTCCTAACTTGAAAGGAAGGATTCCTGGATTGTTATGGAATTTTACGTGGTTTCCAAGGGTCCATGTCCATTTGAAACAATTGGTTTCGTTTATATGAATTACTTCTTTATGTTTTGTTTTCGGATTTTCTATCTCAATTTTATTATTAAGTAGAATTTGGGTAAGAGTGAAAGGACCTAGAAATTTGTTTTTAAATTTTCCCGCTCGATTGTCGGATTTGACAACCTACTTTTAAGTTTTGTGAGATTTTGTCTTCGTTTATTTTGTTAATTAGTTTTTCTTTCGATTGTTGGGTTTTGTTAGTAATTTCATCATAAAGTACTTGAGTTTTTTTTTTGTGGGTATTAAGATATTCAGTAAATACGTGAGATGATACTAAATTCATAGGGTCTTTAGAATCTGTGTCCTGATACGAGTTCGTAAGGACTAAAATTAGTACTAGAATGAATAGTGCTGTTGTAAGCAATAATAGCGAATGGCATAAGTTTGGTGACATCCGAATCTGGGTCTGATTCTCGCAATATTCGAATATGTTCGATTAGAGTAGAATGTAGCCTTTCGATTGGTGAATTAGATTCGTGGTGATAGGGGGTGGTAAAATGTATTTTTATATTGTGGGCTTTAAGAAGTCCATTGACTACTTCGTTTTTAAATTTCGATCCATTATCAGAAATAATTTGTCTTGGTACACCGAAAAATTGGAAAAAGTGAATTAATTGATCTGCGCACGAAACTGCGTTTCCTGAATAGGGGAGTGCTTGAGCAATTTTGGAAAATTTATCTAGTAACGTGAGGAATTTTTGTTTGCCTATTATGAAAGTGTCAATATGAATTATTTCAAAAGGTTTACTTGGCGTTTCGTTAAGCACGAGGGGTTGGTCAGGAGGCTTACGATTGTATTTAGTTCTTTGACAAATTTCACAATTATTGATGTATTTGATAACATCTTGTTTTAAAGATTTCCAATAATAATTGGCTTTTATAAATTTGTGTGTTTCGTCAATACCACGGTGGTTTGTTTTACCTTCGTGTCTGTACTTAATTGTGAGTTCTCAGTCTTCTGGTTGCACGTTATTAATTAACTTCGTACATTCAATTAGTTTTAGATTTTTAAAGTGATTTTTCATGCATTGTTGGAAATAGATTCTAAGATCTTTCGAAAAGAAATAAATGTATGTTGACTTTGTCTGCAATATTCTTTTAGAAATTTCAAAATAGCTGGAATTTGGGCAGGTAAAGTTGCATGAATGATTTTTTTACCGTCAAAATTTTCGGGTTCTTTTTTAATGTAGGCGTCGTAAGGAGATTTTTTAATAATAAATTGCATTGATTTATTATTAATTATTTCGTCTAGCATAGTCATATTTGAGTAATTGTCTACAGCGTCTGTGCTATGCGCTGTTTGAGTTGGAAAAACTCAATTTCATTTTGGTTTCTCTTCGGACCAATTATAATAGGACAACTTTCGAAATTTTGGTGTTCGAATTTGAACGTTCGATACGATATTCACTTTAGGAACTTCAGGAGTTTTTGGAATATCTTCGATTTCTCGTAAAGTTTCTATCACTGCTTCATCTGTGACGCTATTGGGATCGAAACGTGAATCGAGATTTCCGTTTAAAAGTTTATTGATATCTTCATCAATGTTTCCGGGAAGATTAATGAGACATTCAGATTCAATAGCATGTAAGGATATATACGAGAAAGTGCATCGGCGTTTGCATTTTGGTTGCCTTTTTTATAAATGATCTCATAATCGTACTCTTCAAGCTTGAGGCGCCATCTTATCAGCTTGGATCCAACAATAGCCAAAAGTTCTTTTTCTATTGTGGAATACCTTTGTTCGGTTTCATTGAGTGTTCTAGACGCAAAAGCGATTGGTTGATCGTGAGGTGGATTTCCTTGTGACAAGACGGCTCCCAGGGCGAAATTTGAGGCGTCTGTGGAAAGTACAAAGGGTTTTTCGAAATCAGGGTATTTCAGGATAGGTGCATTTATAAGAAGTTCTTTCAAATGATTGAATGATTTTATGAAAGGTTCATTATGAATGTCTTTTTCACCTTTCTTTAGGCAGGAGGTCAAGGGCTTTGTGATTTTGGCAAAATCCTTGATGAATCGGCGATAATAACCGGCTAAGCCTAAGAAAGATTTTATATCCTTTTGTGTTTTTGGGATTGGAAAATGTCTTACAGCTTCGACTTTGTCGGGGTTAGGTTTAACTCCATCGTTAGTGATTTTATGTCCAAGATATGCAACTTCTTTATGTAAGAATTCAGACTTCTAGCTGGATTTTAAAGTTTGACTGTCTGAGGCGCTCAAAGACGTTACGAAGTCGTTGAATGTGTTCTGTTAGAGAAAAGCTGAAAATGATTATATCATCGAGGTAAACTAAACAAGTTTCGTTCTGTAAGCCTCAGTAGAGAACGTTATTCATGACTCGCTGGAAGGTCGAAGGGGCATTTTTAAAACCGAAGGGCATTCGTTTGAACTCAAAATGTCCGGTGTCGGTGGAAAAAGCTGTTTTGGAAATATCACGGGGATCAAGTTCGATTTGATGAAATCCATTTGCCAAATCGAGTGTGGTGAAATATTGCGCCTTGCCTAATTTATCCAAGATATCGGAAATATTGGGCAATGGGAATTTATCGTCAATCGTTTTATCATTAAGTTTTCGATAATCGATTACGATTCTCCATTTTCTTTTTCCAGAGGCGTCCATTTTTTTCGGGACAATCCATATAGGACTACTCCAAGGTGACGTAGAATGCTGAATAATGCCGTTTTGTAACATTTGGTTTATTTGGGTGGTAACTTCTTGTTTGTGGACTGCAGGGATCGATAGGTTTTGGTAAATATAGGAGTTTCATCAGTGAGATTTATTTTATGTTTAATTTGGTTGGTAAAAGTTGAGGGCGAACCTTCACAGAAAAATATATCACGATACTGATAACAAAGGTGTCGAATGGCTTTGTATTCTTCAGTATTGCCATGAGATAATCTTAAATTTTTAAGTTTTTTTTTTTGCAAATTATCGAAATGGTCATTATTATTAATGTTATAATTGTTGACCTCAATATTTTCATAAAAATTAATCTCTGCGTCGTCAAGTAACGCAATATCTAGTAGCTTATATATGCTTATCTTCACAGGGTTTTTGTGTGGGTTTATATGGTCGTTAATGCAAATGAGTCGACTATATTTACTAAAGATTCTGGTATTTCAGTGGCACCAAAGTCTGTATATAAAAAAAATAACTCAAAATACCTATACCATTTTGTTCATTAACTGGTACTTTTATTTTTTGACAAGTTCGAGGCGGGATAATAGCTTCAATTTTTTCAAAATGATGTAGGTAATAATTTCTGGGGTTTCAATTCGCTTTGAAAATACAAACGAAACATTGCGTTTGGAGTTTTCAAGTATTTATTTTTTAGATTAATTTTCGCACCAATTTGTATAGGGAAATTTGTTCCTAATAATCCGATAAGCAAGATTGGGTTTGATAAAACTTTTTCTGCTGCCAGTGTCGATGAGGAATTTGGCATTTAATTCGGGTAATATAAGAACGGGTAAATCGGAATTAGAATAATTATTTAGATTTATTACGTCACATTGTTGGTCGGGGTCAATATTTGAAAATTTTCATCATAACCTGGGTAGGTATCCATTAGGCATTCCAGGTTAATGTCATAACCGATCCGCCATATTAGTTTGGGGGGCACACAAAAGCCAAACATAACCTGATTCAATGTTAAACCAAGAATTTTCAATCTATTTTGTGAAGATGCCTTCTTTTTGCTGCGTTGTTAGGTGCTCTAGTAGAGCGGAAAGAGATAAAGAAAGGTTTTTCAGGATCCCAGCAGCATTAAGAGATCTAGGGAATCGTCTAAACGAGCTAAAAAAGGAACGACGAAATCTGTGGATTAAATGCCTCAAAAGGAGAGATTTAACTGAATCGTTTTTGAAAAATGCTCGTATTTGTTCAAAACATTTTGTTAATGGTAAGTATTATGACTGTCTTGTTAAAATACAAAAACACATTTATATTGAAAAATTGGTTTGTTTCTACAAGTAATATTTACTTTTAATACCTTTTAGGTAGTCCAGCAGAACTTGAATAACCCTTTATATACGCCTTCAACTGCAAGCCTGTGTAGTAACTGTGGGTGTGGGTCAAATATTCGGATAAATCCAAAATTGAAACCTCTGGCAACTCATTGATACTTAAAGTAAACTCATTAGGTAGAAGTTTATAAGGATCTATATTGGCAATTATTTGTATTTTTTGGTCATACCGACATTTCACATCACTAGCTAACGATGAATAATAGTCAATGTTAGCCATTCTACCACAAAAACAACTTAAAACTTATTGAGAGAATTTAAGAACGCAAAAATTCGGAAACACAATCTCAAAGAACGGTGTAAATACTGATCTAGGCTTTGTTTGCCCCCCAGCGGACCTGTCAAAAGTCACGTGACCTGGAATGCCTAATAGTTACTAGCATTTTCGTAATTTTGGTTATAGGAATTGTTATTGTCATAGTCATTTTCTTCAAATGAAATTTGGTTATCATCAGAATCAGGGTAATATTGCTGGTCGGCATATTGATTCTGAAATTGGGAATAATCAATTTGATCATTGGGGTCAATTTCGGTGTTATTTGATAAGGGTTCAACAGATTGGTTGAAAAGTTCTTGTGAATTAAAATTGCGTTGGGGCGCTTGAGCGAATCGTCTTTGTATTGACCGATTGGCTGCAGTATTTATGGAAGTTATATCCATTGGTTCCACTGTTCTGCGGGATACGCTAGAATTATTTTGGGGAAACCTAAAATTATTATTGAAATTTTGGAGATTATTTGAGAAAGGTTTAAATTAGGCAGAATTTTGGGCATTTGTTCTAAATTGGTTGAAATTTGGGTTTCTTTGTGGGTTATAGTTCGGGTTAAAGTTATTATAAAAATTTGAATTATTATTTCTTGGTAAGTATATTATTGTTAAAATTTATTACATTTTGCCGACGGTATGCATTAGCAGAATAATGCATTGGTCTTTTGAATTTATTCACATTTAATTGAGAATTTGTATTATTCCCAGAAGGTGTTTGCTTATGCGTGAGATTAGAACTATTTTTAAATTGAAGAAAATTTTCTTCTTCTAAAGCAAATGACATAGCTTGCTCAAGAGAGTCAGGATTTTTCAATCTAACTATCAATTGCATGTGATAGTTGAGCCCAGTAATAAAAGTTTTCATTACTAATTTACCATACTCGTCGATTTTTAATAATTTAATAGTACGAGTATCGTTAGAAACGTTAACTTTTGAAAATAATAGGCTACGGGCATCTTGCAAACGTATACTAAATTGTTGAGGATTTTCATTTTTTTCAGGTTTCATTGTAATGATGTCCTGTATAACATAATCAATTGATCTTTGATCGGAAAAAGTTGCAATAATCGCACTTTTTACTAAATCCCATGAGTTTAATTCTATTCTAGAAGCAATTAAATCTGCTGAAAATATATGAAAAGTGAAATTAGGATTTTCCTAACTTGTCAAAAACAGTGTATAGCAATAAAACAATGAGGAAAAAATAAAAAAATGGAAACTGAAAGGATTCACTTACAGTAGCAGGAATGCGATTATTTTCTTCATTCTTAACCAAAGCCCAATAGGAAAAACGATGCTTGTCTTCTCCCTGGAACTACCTTATGAGCGTCTGGACGATTTTTGTTCCGTTTGCTCGCACCAATAGGAATAAGACGATTTTTGTTCCCGTTTTCCCTGGTCCCGGATGAGCTGCGTTGCACCACTTTCGAAAATTTCGTTCAATATTGCCGTAAATCGTCGGAACGAACCGATAACTTTGTCGCACAATGCGCGAAACCGTCAACAATATCCTACCGACTGCGCCAGTTAACAACTCGAATTTTGGGAGTTAGTTTTAAAAAAAAAAATTATTTTCAATCGTGTATGTAATGTAACTTAAGCCACGTTCACAAATATTTACGGATTTAACAAATTTATTCAGAATCAATCACCATCAATAAGAAGGATGAAATATTGAACCTTTTTGCAGTATTTGTAACCCCTAAAAATTTAGGACTATAATGGAAAAAATGTGGTACTACTTTTGATATTCTATTTTATATGGGAAGATGAAAATTTTCCAGTTTGTTTCAGTATAGAGTTCAAACCTAACTAAGGTCGAAGGAAAATCGCACATAAAAATGTATAATTATTTGAGTGAATTAGGAGTTCGGTGCAAAACTCAGGCTGAAGTTATAGATGATATAAATGTAGGAATGAGAATAGTATTTTAGAAAACTCCGACTTTGACACTGGGTAAATTCGGTGCTTGTGAATAATATAAAATTGAATTTTCAAAAACGAAATATTTCCCGCTAAGCAAAACGAAATATTAGAATGGTTCATTTTCAAATGAACACTCACTATTAAAAAAAATTAGTAATTAAATAATAATAATCATACCATATCCTCGAAAATCTAAGATTAAAAAATATTTGAAAAAGACATTTTTGGCAATTTTATGAAATTTTTTTCGTACCTCTAAATAGTTCAGGATTAGTGGAAATCAATCTTCCACAATATAATGTCACTTCTTGTTGGAGTACGGCCTGTATAACATCATACGGCTGTATGGTGCTATAGACAACAGACTGAATTTCTGATGGGGTCATTGGTTTATCGAATACTGTTTCTTTTTGGCCTATTACACCAACAGTAAGCTGTTTCCCATGTACTAAAACTGCAGTAATAAAAGGACTAATAGAATCTACAGTGTGATGCAGTAGACTACTGACATATCTGACTGCGGCCCAATGTCTTAAACAACCGGCTTGATGGTAAAGACCTACAAAATTAAATAACATCAATATAACAATAAACAGAAAAGCACGTATAAACACACTTGATAAACATTCTTCAATAGAACGATCGTTAACCATAAAATGCTTTCCTTCTTTTTTTAGTAAAAATCCGTAGAGTTGTGCTCTGGCATAGAGACTTTCTTGGTTTCTCAAAGTTTCTATAATCTCGTTGGTTGATTTAGTTTTGAATTCCTTCAATAAAAATATCGATAAGAAAACCTGCATTTCTCAGTACAAATTTAACTTACTGAGAAATCTTGTAGTTCGTCATTATAATGCAGCGCCCTAGGAACGTCTGTTAAACTTTGATAGCCAATATAATCATGTTCCAATTGTTGAAAATGTGAGAAATTCTCGGTAGTATCTTCCAAGGCATTCATAAAATCCAAATGTTCTATAATAGGAAGGTTCTTAGATAAGCTTTTTCTAGTGTCTATACTCACCAACACACGAACTAGATATGAGGTTCTGCAACCGGCCAATTCTAACTTTAACATTGTCACAATAACCTTTTTTAAGCATTGCCAAAAGATCTAACATTTGTTTAAATTGTGGATCTCTCATGTGCTCTTCTTTTATAAGAAGGCATACTGTTGGTCTTCCTGATAAACGCCAATATCTACCAATAATAATTATATTAGTTGAATAAAATAAATCAAGTTATATATGTTTTACCTTCCAACAAACTGAAGCTCAGTTTTTATATCGTCTATCAACAGAGCCATATCTCTATAAAGATAAAAATCAGACACCTCGAAAATTAGTGGATAACATAGCACTGTTTGGCCACAAATTCTGTAAAGTTTGCTAGTACCTGAAAATTTTCATTTCAATCACTTTGAACAAACTTATGATTTCATTTACCTAAACTACCAATAGGTCTCTCAGGCCTTCCATGTAACTTCAATTTCTTATTTACACCCAAATTTTGATAAACATTCACCAATTGTGTAGACGACCAGATTTGTACAGGTTCAACTTCGTGAGGCGTTTGAGTTTGAATACCATAAGTGGCCATCATAGCTTGTAAACGCATCGATTCTGCGATGAGGACTATTTGAACTACGAGGTCTGTAGCTGTACCCTATACAATAATATTCGTAAAAAAAGTAAAAATTAGAAGTTAGATAAAATCAAGATGCATTTGTGCAAAAAATAGTAACGAAATCATTATTTACGTTAGGTTAATATTGTCACAAAATCTTACATGCAAAATAGCAGCTGAACTTATGGAGTACTCAAGCAAAAAAAATATTAGTGTTGAGTTAAGTTTTTCAGGTGTCAAATTTTGGAAAGTATTTATAGAAATGTTGTTGAATGTTACTGGAGCATTGAAAAGAGATACATAAATGTTGACCATACTGTTGGAGATTTGTGTCCACTTGACAATATTCCTTTAATGAAAGAAAATTTTGATTGTTAATATTTGTTTCGAGAGGGGCACTTTTTGAGAAATATTTAGTACTAGAAACTTCAACCCAATTACCCGCATCACCTTCAAATTCTTAAATAGAATCATTTTTACTACTTCTGCAATTATTTTTGACAACTTTCGTAAGATACCTATATTTCAAAAGTGGTCTAGAATGCAGAGTCATAACTAATATAAATTGGAACACTGAAAACCTCCAGGTCGTAGTTCAACATCATGTCTAAGTCTAGTATTGCGCATGTCTCCACTTAAAATAAGTGCAAACAAAACCTAGACATTTCTAGGCTTAACGAAATTCTTTTTGTAGACATGTTTGATTAGCGGGCATCAACAAATTTTATTCTACGTTAAGTCAATTTTGCCTTGAAGAAAATGTCTATAGAGGTGGTGGGAACAGCTATACTCAATATGTGTTTCTACAATACAGGCTGTCCGGAATAACTTAGGGGATTTTGAAAAGTGAAGATACAAGGTGGACCGGGGGAAGAGTTGGGCAATCAAGTGTCTATACTACAAATAATATGTCATCAACTTTTTTGAACTTCTTGATTGTATCTTTTATAAAAAATAAGATATAAAAGATTTCATAAATCGCATTTTTTTCTTTTTATATCCGTTGCTATTCCGAGTTCAAAGAAGTTGACCGATTTTTTTGTAGGCACTTGATTGGGCAACTTTTTCCCCATTTGGTCTATCCCCCTTATGATTTAGATTTTGGAAACTTTGAAAGGTCATAACTTTTTTTCTATTATAAATAGAAAGCTGAATCTTTCACTGAATTTTATCTTTTTCAAAGAACTACAATCTCTGAAAATTTCAGTTCCTTTGCACTTATAGTTCCTGAGATAAAATCGTGTTAAGCAATTTGGGGTGATTTATCAATTTTTCAATTTTTCTGAGTGCCATTTTTCATAGATTTCGGCTTCAAATCTGAAAATAAATTATTGTATGGAGTTTGGGGTATGTTGATTGACCATTAGGATACAAAATCTCAACAAAAAAAATATTAAAATTTCATCGTTTTAGTAAGAAGGTACCCCCCTTATGATTTAGATTTTGGAAAACTTTGAAAGGTCATAACTTTTTTTCTATTATAGATAGAAAGCTGAATCTTTCACTGAATTTCATCTTCTTGAAAGGACTACAATCCCTGAAAATTTCAGTTCATTTGCACTTATAGTTCCTGAGATAAAATCGTGTTAAGCAATTTGGGGTGATTTATCAATTTTTCAATTTTTCTGAGTGCCTTTTTTCATAGATTTCGGCTTCAAATCTGAAAATAAATTATTGTATGGAGTTTGGGGTATGTTGTTTGACCATTAGGATACAAAATCTCGACAAAAAAAAAATTGAAATTTCATCGTTTTAGTAAGAAGGTACCCCCTTATGATTTAGATTTTGGAAAACTTTGAAAGGTCATAACTTTTTTTCTATTACAGATAGAAAGCTGAATTTTTCACTGAATTTCATCTTCTTGAAAGGACTACAATCCCTGAAAATTTCAGTTCATTTGCACTTATAGTTCCTGAGATAAAATCGTGTTAAGCAATTTGGGGTGATTTATCAATTTTTCAATTTTCCTGAGTGCCTTTTTTCATAGATTTCGGCTTCAAATCTGAATATAAATTATTGTATGGAGTTTGGGGTATGTTGTTTGACCATTAGGATACAAAATCTCGACAAAAAAAAAATTGAAATTTCATCGTTTTAGTAAGAAGGTACCCCCCTTATGATTCAGATTTTGGAAAACTTTGAAAGGCCATAACTTTTTTTCTATTATAGATAGAAAGCTGAATCTTTCACTGAATTTCATCTTCTTGAAAGGACTACAATCCCTGAAAATTTCAGTTCATTTGCACTTATAGTTCCTGAGATAAAATCGTGTTAAGCAATTTGGGGTGATTTATCAATTTTTCAATTTTTCTGAGTGCCTTTTTTCATAGATTTCGGCTTCAAATCTGAAAATAAATTATTGTATGGAGTTTGGGGTATGTTGATTCACCATTAGGATACAAAATCTCGACAAAAAAAAAAATTGAAATTTCATCGTTTTAGTAAGAAGGTACCTCCCTTATGACTTAGATTTTGGAAAACTTTGAAGGGTCATAACTTTTTTTCTATTATAGGTAGGAAGCTGAATCTTTCACTGAATTTAATTTTTTTCAAAGGACTACAGTCACTAAAAAATTCAGCTCATTTGCACTTATAGTTCCTGAGATAAAATCGTGTTAAGCAATTTGGGGTGATTTATCAATTTTTCAATTTTTCTGAGTGCCTTTTTTCATAGATTTCGGCTTCAAATCTGAAAATAAATTATTGTATGGAGTTTGGGGTATGTTGATTGACCATTAGGATACAAAATCTCGACAAAAAAAAAATTGAAATTTCATCGTTTTAGTAAGAAGGTACCCCCCTTATGATTCAGATTTTGGAAAACTTTGAAAGGTCATAACTTTTTTTCTATTACAGATAGAAAGCTGAAACTTTCACTGAATTTTATCTTTTTCAAAGGACTACAGTCTCTGAAAATTTCAGCTCATTTGCACTTATAGTTCCTGAGATAAAATCGTGTTAAGCAATTTGGGGTGATTTATCAATTTTTCAATTTTTCTGAGAGCCTTTTTTCATAGATTTCGGCTTCAAATCGGAAAATAAATTATTGTATGGAGTTTGGGGTGTGTTGTTTGACCATTAGGATACAAAATCTCGACAAAAAAAAAATTGAAATTTCATCGTTTTAGTAAGAAGGTACCTCCCTTATGACTTAGATTTTGGAAAACTTTGAAGGGTCATAACTTTTTTTCTATTATAGGTAGGAAGCTGAATCTTTCACTGAATTTAATTTTTTTCAAAGGACTACAGTCACTAAAAAATTCAGCTCATTTGCACTTATAGTTCCTGAGATAAAATCGTGTTAAGCAATTTGGGGTGATTTATCAATTTTTCAATTTTTCTGAGTGCCTTTTTTCATAGATTTCGGCTTCAAATCTGAAAATAAATTATTGTATGGAGTTTGGGGTATGTTGATTGACCATTAGGATACAAAATCTCGACAAAAAAAATTTGAAATTTCATCGTTTTAGTAAGAAGGTACCTCCCTTATGACTTAGATTTTGGAAAACTTTGAAGGGTCATAACTTTTTTTCTATTATAGGTAGGAAGCTGAATCTTTCACTGCATTTAATTTTTTTCAAAGGACTACAGTCACTAAAAAATTCAGCTCATTTGCAATTATAGTTCCTGAGATAAAATCGTGTTAAGCAATTTGGGGTGATTTATCAATTTTTCAATTTTTCTGAGTGCCTTTTTTCATAGATTTCGGCTTCAAATCTGAAAATAAATTATTGTATGGAGTTTGGGGTATGTTGCTTGACCATTAGGATACAAAATCTCGACAAAAAAAAATTGAAATTTCATCGTTTTAGTAAGAAGGTACCCCCCTTATGATTCAGATTTTGGAAAACTTTGAAAGGTCATAACTTTTTTTCTATCACAGATAGAAAGCTGAATCTTTCACTGAATTTCATCTTCTTGAAAGGACTACAATCCCTGAAAATTTCAGTTCATTTGCACTTATAGTTCCTGAGATAAAATCGTGTTAAGCAATTTGGGGTGATTTATCAATTTTTCAATTTTTCTGAGTGCCTTTTTTCATAGATTTCGGCTTCAAATCTGAAAATAAATTATTGTATGGAGTTTGGGGTATGTTGTTTGACCATTAGGATACAAAATCTCGACAAAAAAAAAATTGAAATTTCATCGTTTTAGTAAGAAGGTACCCCCCTTATGATTCAGATTTTGGAAAACTTTGAAAGGTCATAACTTTTTTTTCTATTATAGATAGAAAGCTGAATCTTTCACTGAATTTCATCTTCTTGAAAGGACTACAATCCCTGAAAATTTCAGTTCATTTGCACTTATAGTTCCTGAGATAAAATCGTGTTAAGCAATTTGGGGTGATTTATCAATTTTTCAATTTTTCTGAGTGCCTTTTTTCATAGATTTCGGCTTCAAATCTGAAAATAAATTATTGTATGGAATTTGGGGTATGTTGATTGACCATTAGGATACAAAATCTCGACAAAAAAAAAAATTGAAATTTGATCGTTTTAGTAAGAAGGTACCTCCCTTATGACTTAGATTTTGGAAAACTTTGAAGGGTCATAACTTTTTTTCTATTATAGGTAGGAAGCTGAATCTTTCACTGAATTTATTTTTTTTCAAAGGACTACAGTCACTAAAAAATTCAGCTCATTTGCACTTATAGTTCCTGAGATAAAATCGTGTTAAGCAATTTGGGGTGATTTATCAATTTTTCAATTTTTCTGAGAGCCTTTTTTCATAGATTTCGGCTTCAAATCGGAAAATAAATTATTGTATGGAATTTGGGGTATGTTGATTGACCATTAGGATACAAAATCTCGACAAAAAAAAAAATTTGAAATTTCATCGTTTTAGTAAGAAGGTACCTCCCTTATGACTTAGATTTTGGAAAACTTTGAAGGGTCATAACTTTTTTTCTATTATAGGTAGGAAGCTGAATCTTTCACTGAATTTATTTTTTTTCAAAGGACTACAGTCACTAAAAAATTCAGCTCATTTGCACTTATAGTTCCTGAGATAAAATCGTGTTAAGCAATTTGGGGTGATTT